TAACAACCTTCCATAACCCCAGCTCTGACCCTGTGGGCATTGCAGGAGTGTCCTTACATGCTGCATATACTATATTCATACACATAAAATAAAAATAATAAATAAAATATGTTTTTAAAAGAGGTACCCAAGACAATGAAAAGAGAAATGATGTAGGTTTGTATAAAGGGTACAGGACCAACAGAAAGAGCCTCCAATGTCTAACACTGGAGCCGTTTGAACAAAAATACAGTAATACTGGATCATAGCCCCAAACAAAATAAATATCCATAACAATGTAAATAAATGGTTGGGTAAACTAATAAATGGTAGGGAAGAAATGAATTTGCATGAAGTCAAACATCAAGTAAATGTATGTAGCTACTCTGTCTCCAAGCACGCAATGCATACTCTCAACTCTGTCTGTGTGTGCATTCCTCCACTGCACCCAGCGTGGGGGAGGAAAAGGAGACAAGTACCTCAGGTGACTGAGCACAACACAGTCATGAGATGTTGATAGAATATACTCCTGCACTAATGATGAAAGTGGCTTTGTTACCACTGTGATCATCATCTAAACCCATATTCTCTATCTTATCAGGAGAAAAACATCAAATTCCAATAAGGAGTTTCTTACAATATTCCTAAAACTTCCAGAACCATCAAAACCAGGAAAAGACCAAGAAAACATCACAGTCAAGCAGAGCTTGGGAGGTTATAATTAAACCTAACGTAACATTCTCAATAGGATTCTAGATCAGAAAAGGATGTTAGATAAAAAAAAAAGACCCAGAATAAACCATGGATTTATTTTTAGTAAAAATGTATGAATACTAACTCCTTAGTTTTAATAAGTGCACTTACCATACTAAGATGCTAACAGGAGAAAGTGTGTATATATGGAAACTGTACTGTTTCTCAAGTTTTCTATAAAATTGAACTAGTCTTAAAAAAATTAAATGTTATAAAATTAAATACTCTTGGCCTCTTACCTTCTAGTTACTTGTGAACACAAGTTAGAGGCAATTTAATTAAGAAGAAAGTGTGGAAGGGAAAGAGAAGGCAACATTGAGTCTAGAATTAGGGTCAGGAGGAAATCAATTCAAGGCCAGAAATGGTCACAGAAGCAAAGAAAGTTACTGTTCCTAGTTATTTTAAAGCTTCAAAGTTCACCTGCTAAGGGTCTGCGTTTTACTGTAAACATTTACTGGCTCCTTCCTTTAAACGCTCATTATTGGGATTTAGCACTGCTAATTAAACACATTATAATCTAGAATCCCCAAGAAAGAAAAAAAAGATTATACTAAGAGCATCATTTTTTGTCCTTGTTTTTGAGATGGGGAATCCCTGTAGCCCCAGCTGACTTGGAATTTTCTATGCAGACCAGGATAGCCTCAGAGATCTGCCTGCACCACCATGCTTGGTAGCAACGTTTTTTAAAAACTGAAAATAAGTTATGCCTATAAGGAAGTTTAGCTACAAAATTCAGCATAGCTACAAAATTCATGAAATACAGTGACGTTTCGTGTCCTGTAAGATCTCACTATCCAGTGAGGCAGGTAGTTTCGTATCCCCACTATTAGAAATATGTCAGCTTGTATGTCTAACAAAGCTCTCAATCAAAAATTCAAATTAAATAGAAGGAAACCTTAAGTGTTCCTCTGCAGAATAATCCTGAATTACATCTGAATTCTGGAAGGCTAATCTGATCATTTTTTAGACTAGAGGAAGGTACACAAAGGATCTGTGCCTGTTTACTGTCCACAAAGAAAGGTATGTTACAAACTATTTCACAAACTTGCTCCCAAATACTTTCATTTTCTGAGGGCAATGATGAAAATTTGTTCTGCAACCAAAGCCCTTACAGGACAAATTATTTTAATTAAAATATTGGAATATGAAGTGATATAGAGGGTCCTTCTTTATAAACTCCATCAGCATTTTCTTAAGAAAATAGCCAAGATTTTCACTTTATAGAAAGAGATTTGCATTCTCCAATTATCTCCACCTGGAAAGTTACAGAGTAAATAAAAAGGGGGAAGGGAAGTTTACTGAAGCAGCTGTAAACACAAACTAAAGCAATCAAAGCAGCATTTGGAGGCCTAAAATTTGGTTGCCCTTCACCCCATAGACAATCAACTGCCTCCCAGCAGGGTAGAAACCTACTCCACTCCAATAATTTACATAAGAAATTAGCAACCAAAATTTACATATGAATGGAAGAACTCAGCAGTCCATCAGGTGTTAAGTATCTGCTTATCTAAATTGCCTCTAAAAATAGCTTTACCTTCCTTTAAGCCTTAGGTAAACAGAGGATTTCCCATGGAGGGAAGGTGGCATTCTAAAACCAGGCAGGCAATCATTCTGTTGCAGGGTTTCAATGCTGTTTTTAATGGGAATTTTGAGGCCGTCCTCCAGTTACGCAAGAAGATTCTTAGACCTATCTTGGAGGGAGCCCAACTGCAAAAGCGATGTGAAATGTAAAGTATCAACTTATAAACTATTTCTTATTTAAAACGTCACAGGTGAATTGGGAAGGGGGAAATGAGTGATAACCAGCAGTTATTAAAACCTAAGTATGTGAGATAAGGCCAACCTGGTTCCAGGTTCTAGAGTTCCAGGCCAGCTGTGGCTACAGGGAGTCTCTCTCTCTCTCTCTCTCTCTCTCTCTCTCTCTCTCACACACACACACACACACACACACATACAACAACAACAACAGTCTAAAGCAGCTGATGGGGACTCTATAGAACTAGTGTTTGAGAATGTGCTGCAATTTGAATTTTCTGCTTTGGCCCTCAGGACAATTGCCCTTTACCTTTTAAAATCACCATTTCCCTTTCCGAATACTTCTGTTTTAAACTTTAGGAAGCACTCGTTATTTTTAGATCACTGACTTAAGATCTCAGTAGCTACTAAACGACATTTTCGTGCCTATATATAAAGTAACACTACTGCCAGATACCAGATACCTCAATGGGCCAACTGAAAATATACTCCTGGCACAGAGAGACAGGGAAAACACTCCTCTTTTTTTTTTTTTTTTTTCCAGAAAATTTGGTTATTTAAAAACTTTTTACTTGGGTTCTATTTAATTATCACATATAATGAGATTTTCAGCGGTACTTCATTTTAAGCACTATTCAACTTGTTGCTTGATGAATTAACTATTCAATTGAGAAAAAGATATAAAATGAATATAAAACAAGTAAACAGAAATATACTAGTCACCTTCCACATCTCCACAGGTTTAAAGGCTTATATTACATCAATACGGAGTAAATCAGTACACATCAGTAAGTCTGGGCAGAAGGAACCAATCATTAAATGAAAACAAATCCTCAAGGAGTGATGTGCTACAGGGCCTGAGCCAAAGACCAGCAGTAGACCAACTGCCAGAGCCCATTGCAGTGAACCAGGCACAGGCTAGCTACTAGGAGAATCACTCTGAGCTCTTCACCCTCTAGGTAGATCTGGATCCCTTTACTGGTTGTCAGATTCTCGGGAGTATTAGGAATCAAGAGAAAATGAAACTCCCAAAGAAGGCCAACTATTTATATGGGTTTACCTGGATAAATCTTAAATTTATCCCAAATTATTTGTTCTCCAAACTTTAGAAGGAAGCTCTTGTGAAATTTTATACTTCAGAAGATAAATCCCTCCCCCATGTCTCCTCAAGACTTTCATGCAAGGACAATGTCTACGCTAATGTCAGTGTGAATATAAAATATATCCTACCTAATCCGGAGAAAGTGAAACCTATATACTAATTAGATTGATGACCAGAATATAGAAACTAAATGGAGGGAAGAAAGTAGAATTTAAGTTGTGATATCACCAAAACCACAAAACAATAAAAATATTAGAAACCAGCATTTTTTATTAAAAGTGTGATTAAAAACATGATGGGGTTACTGGGCATGGTAATGGTACATGCCTTTAATTCCAGCACTCAGGAGACAGAGGCAGAGGCAGGCAGATCTCTGTAAGATGGAAGCCAGCCTGGTCTACATAGTGAGTTCCAAGCCAGCTGGGGCTACAGGGAGACCCCGTCTCAAAAAGACCAAAATAATTTTTTTTTAAAAAAGACAAAACACAAAAAACAAAGAAACAAACAAACAAACAAACAAAAAACCACACAAGCAAAAACAAAACCTGAATAAATAAAACGAGATTGTCACACTTCTTACATTTTTATCCTATGTAGACAAGTTTTACATTTGTAATATTTATAAAATTTATACATATATTTGTAAATTTTATTTATTATTTTTATTTTATGTGTATGTCTATATTGCCTGCATGTAGGTAAGTGCACCCATGTTGTGCAATGCCCACGGAGGTCAGAAGAGGCTGTTGGATGCCCTGGGACTGGAGTTATGGACAGTTGTTAGCTGCCATGTGGGTGCTGGGATACGAACCCAGGTCTTCTGCAAGAACAACCAGTGGTCTTAACCACTGAGCCATCTCTCCAGCCCCAAAAGATTTATATTTTACCTCTATACTTAATGAATACCTAAAATAGACGTAGGGCTGGCAAGATGGCTCAGCAGGTAAAGTCACTTGTCAACAAGCCTGACCACCCAAGTACAATCCCCAGAACTCATACTCAGGAGACAGAGTCAGACAGATCTCTGTCAGATTGAGGCCAGTCTTATCTACATAGTGGGTTCCAAACCAGCTGGGACTACAGGGAGATCCTGTCTCGAAAAGCCAGGGGTGGGGGAGGGGGAGTTCCTGAGAGAGCTGTGTTCTGGCAGAGAACATGGAATACTGCAAAAACTTTGATTTGTGTTTAAAGTTGTATTTGCACAGACCTTCTCAATGAATCTCAGTCTTTTCATCTGTAAGAAGGGTGATACTCATGTCTCCTGTAGACACTGCTGTGAAGTCACAGGAGACAACAGGAGTAAAAATATAACCACTCACTGGTATCCAGCCTTGAACACCATGGGGAAGGACTGGGAACACAGACGGTATTAGATGACAATATGGAAAAGGAATCAAAAATGCAAACCTACCATCTGTAGTGCAAGATCCTTCTGGGGCAGGTTTTTGTGAATAGGGAATTGGTGGGCTGTTGGAATCAGACATTTCTTCATCATCTTCATCATCTTCCATCTCATTAATTGCTACATTGTTGGAAAAATCCAGACTGCCATTTTGGGTGTAACGCTGTACCAGGTCTTTATCCAGATCTTCCACCTTAGGTTTGACATCTGGGTCAGCAAAGACATCATAGCAATTTTAATTTAAAAGATGCATATGAATCATAAGAAAAATTCCTAGTTCTGAAAGAAATCTTTGAGGAGAGGGAAACTAGTGTTTTTATTTTATTTACTTATTTACCTATTTATTTATTTTATTTATTTATTGGTTTTTTCGAGACAGGGTCTCCCTGTAGTCCCAGCTGGTCTGGAACTCACTATGTAGACCAGGCTGGCCTTGAACTCACAGAGATCCACTTGCCTCTGCCTCCTGAGTGCTGGGATTAAAGGCGTGCTCTACCACACCCAGTCAGGAAACTAGTGTTTTTAACACTTAGCCAAATGGTATTGGAGTTCTCAGGATTTGGACTTCTCCACTTCTTCTGAAAGGAACCTAGAAATGCTTGCATGTGATGGGAAACGTACCTGAAGATGTGAAAGGGTGCTGGTCAGGGTCCAAGTACAGCTGGGAAAAAACTGGCCGCGGTACTACACTACTACATCTGAGCGAGGCTTCAATGGAGTTGTGGAGAGCTTCCTCAAATCTAGCAGATTTCAGTTGCCCAGCATATGAGTTCCCCATGGTCTTTGCCAGCACATTCCAAAGGAAAAGAGGAAGAAGAAAATTGATATTAGAGGTTCATGTCCTAAAAGTACAGGTATGGCAAATATAAACTATATCCAAATATCTTATGATGTGAACTGTATGAAATGTGTTCTTAACACGTCTGGAAAGATGGCTCAGTGGATAAAGTCACTTGCCACCAAGCCTAAAAACATAAAGTCAATCCCCAGAACCCACATGGTGGAAGGAAAGAACCAGCTCATACAAATTGTTCCCTGACTGCCACAAGATTGCACCCATGTGTACACACATCAACACAAAATAAATGAAAAAAGAAGAAAGAAGGAAAAAAAAAACTTATCTATTACACATTGCTTATAGATTTAGTCCTTACAGTCAAGGCCTATCTCAGAAAGCCCCATTAAGCAATCTTGTAATTTAACAGTTATAACTGTTTCAGGTCAAAGCTCTTTTACCTATAAGGCAAGATTAACCTGTCAATCCTGAAGCCTAACCTCATGAACAATTGGACTACACCTTCTTCTTACCATTGCTAGGCCACACCCCATATCAGCTCTGGCTTTAGAGTAAATATTTAATCTATTACTCTAGGAGAAAAAAGACTCCTTTGCTAACAAAATGAAAGCTTTATGATAATTAATTTAATTAACAAATTCCTTAAAGCACTTTCTGTATCTTTTAACTCAGGGAACTCATGTATGTGATGCTACTATTTATTTATTTATTTATTTGTTTGTTTGTTTGTTTGTTTGTATGAAAACACTTGTTTCTTTTGTCTTGTCTGAAACTTTTGAGGATTCTCCAGGAAAGTCAATAATAATAAGTCTGAAGGTATGGTCTATAGTTCTCATCACTAATGTTTGTGTACCATTCTTTAGCCACTGAAAATTCCATGTATATGGTAATTAAAAGTACCAGAATGGTGGAACTAACCTTCTTAGATGTTTAACAGCTATACTTTGAGGCCTATACTAATCTGGTCTGAGGGACTTATAGGACAGTTTTTGCTCCTTGCCCTCCAAGGTCAACTAAGTTCCAGGGGACTATGGAGCATCTCTCAAAATGTCCTGTAACTGTGGTGAGTCACCTGTCATCCTGTTCAGGGAGGCCATGGAGACCCCACCAGATGGACTTGAACCAGTGCCCAGTCTACAAAGAGGAGGGTCAACACAGAGGAAACATTTCCTCCATGCTTCCAAGTGAAGCCAGCCATGATTGAGCAGGACCTTTGACTTATCTTCACATAGGTGGAACTGGTAAAAGGAGCCAGGGGCTCCTCCCAAGGCCATGTAACCCCTAAGGAACAGATCCTCCAACAATCTGAAGAGTAAAAATAAATTGGTTTCTTTGGGCCAACTGTATGGTCTTAAACACCCAAAAGGGAAGTATAACCAAAGATTAATCAGTATATTTATTTAAGAGTTCAAGGGATTACACTTCCTAGACACTAGGCTTAAGTCCATATAAAACGTTAGACAATTATTTCTCATTGATTATTTTGTTTCTAAACAGAAAGTGCTGCTCAGATGTAAGACTTCAAATCTTGATCTGGAATACTGTAGTGCCCACCTGTAGCTAAGGGAGAGAACCCATTATTTTTCTAAAATGATGGCTACATTTGTTTTCTCTCCCTATCTAGAAGTCTTTAAGAGGGAACTGACACTGATCCTAGCCACTCCAACAGCTATTAAAATGCTTGAAAACAAATCTTGAGCCCATCACTCTGAGTCCAGCCTTGGGAGACAAAGGAAAAATGAGGAGGAACCCAATAGAGGGATGTTTTGGAAGCTCTCATCAAGAAATCCTAATGGACTCTGATATGAACAATTGAAATTTGCCCTGTTCTGACTTTTTTCTAGTTCCCTGTCTAGAACTTGTAATGCTAACTACTCTTGCCTTTACTTCTCCTTCACATCCCGTTTACCAGTCAAGGACCTTCTTTTCTCCCTACAGATAAGAGTTATGAAATTTGGGAGTCTTTTAGATAGACCCACTGAAGGGGTACCCCAATTGCCTCACCCTGTGTCCCTGTTCAGCATGGAAGAAGCCAAAGCAGTCTGTGTTGCGACTCCCTATTGATAATTGGGATAACCTCTTCAGAGGATGGGGTGATAAGAATAGGAGGTAGGAATGTGCTAGGCAGTTAGGGTAAAAAGACCCCAAAGAAAAGTAGCCAGTTTCTTGGCTAAAAGTCAAAATGTCCTTGAGCCTCTTAGCAACATGCTCTGTTCCAAAGGACAAAAATGTCAAAAGTTATTTGGGATCTTATATCTAATCCTTAAAAGATTTTAGGGTTACCTCTTCAGA